CCTTCCTGGACAAGTCCTTGGAGGCTGGCAGCTGCCAGGAACCTGACACAGAAAGCTCTTGTCAGCTCCTTGTCCTGCACACTAAGGGGACTGTCAGATACAGTAGCCAAGTTACTCAGAGGTTCCTTGGGCTCTAAGTATCTTTACCTGCTGATGTCCTTTTCTGTTCTTTCATCTGCATTTTTGACTTCTACAGGAGTGTAACTCAGAGCCTTAAACAAAAAAAGAAACAAAATGAAAAAAAAAAGGAAAAAGCTGGATGCAACTTCAGTATTACTTTTGTAGCTATACTGCAGTTATGAGCAATTAATACATAATGTGGTAATTTAAAAATTGTTCTTGTCAAGGCAGTACTCTGTATTATTGCCATTGCAGCTGGTTCTGCGCTCAGGAGAAATTCAGCAGTTATACTCTGTTGGCTATTCCATCCAGAACCTCCTCAAACTCAGGGACTAGAGCTACGATTAGTCTCTTTTCTGTTTACAGTGAATTACACAAGACACGTACACAATACAACACCCCTTTTCATTCAGACAATTATGGCATGGACAAACTGCTCATGCTGTTTCTGATTTTCTTACTCTAATTTCAGTGTGGACACCATTAGGTAATTTTTTTAAGTGATAGAAGAAATTGTTATGTGCTTCTTTAGCAATAAACGGGGAAAAGTGCTTGCTCTGAATTTAAAAAACAACAGCAAAAACAACAACAACAAAAAAAGGGGGGTTTTAATTTCCTCCTGCTGGGAAAGCAAATGGAAGAAATATTTTAACCATGCTGGAGTCACTGAGATGCTTTCTGAAGGTTTTTTAGTTACCCAGTTTTAAATACACTTACAGCATGTAGCAAAGAGGCAAGTTTGTCCTGGAAGAGTTGCACCACCCTCTGGATAGGGCAGATGGCATCCTCAAACCAGCTCCTCAGGTAGGGGCTAACACAGGCCTCCAAGTTTTTTTGCTGTAACACATTGAAACATTAAAATTTTAACTAAAAATCAGATTTCTACATCAATAGAAGCCTATTAGTAATCCACTCAACCTAAAATAATTGGATGTTGGAACCTTCTTAATCTCAAACCACAGTGAACTAAAATAATGAGTTTGAGATTTAAAGCCTCACTTTATCAACAATGAAAGGCTTTGCATTTTAAGAAGCAGCCAGAATTGTAATATGATGGTATATCTTGAATGAAGACCATGCAACAGCAGATGGGATGACAAAGTGACTTAAAATCCAGAACTTCCACTAGAAAAATGTGACAAGAAACCCACTAATGTCCTTTCTTAGCATTCAGAAGTGGTAAGAACTGAGGTGGACATTGATAAGTTCCTTGGAGACCATTACCTTTTATTGGTTACTCTTCTCTCCAAATTTAACTCTTAGTGACCTTTAAGAGATTTATAACTGACACAAAAAGGTCCTTCCTTTCTTTTTTTCTTTTGACTTGTGTAGCTGATAGCACCTTAGACCTTAGCAACTCACTACAGTGAGTCAAGTATCTCTCCCTGTTTTTCATACTGGTACTTGAAACACCTATTTTGTCTTTATAGATTAGATCTTTCAGATGGTTTTAGCAATTGACCTGCATAAATACTAATTTTCACCACTTAAAAAAAAAAAAAAGTTTGGCTTTACCTCCAAATCAAGGTTTATCTTCAGATTTTGAATGTATTTGTCCAGCTCAAGTCTGAAAGTATCTTCTTAAGGAAAATAAGATGCATCAGTTAAGACTTGTATTTTTCATTTCAGTATATGGCTGTTACTGACTTTTTCAGTTACTGAAAGGTGTGCACAAATGAGCTTATTTCAAGCAGCAACAAACAAAATGACAAGATAATTTTTACATCATCTCCCTCTCCATACAGGTAAAGAAAGTTAAAGGTAAGGATATAGTTCCAGACCTTTCTCTGAGCCACCTAAGAAACAAACCACATATTCTGGAGCATTGATGTCTGATTCCAACGTTGCCATTTCCAGAAGACTTTCTTGTTGGAAACGACAGTAGTAACAACCAACTTTACCTTCTGGTATGCTATGAGAAAAGAAAAAAAAGAGAAAAAAAAAAAAAAAAAAAAAAAAAAAAAAAAAAAGTTACTTTCTTCCAGATACATCATAATAAATTAGTGCAAAAAGCAGACATATGCGAATTCTGATGTGATTTTAACTGTTAGCACTGGTGGCTCCTATGGCCGTGGTAGGTGCAGCCATAGGTACAGCTCTTAGACCTTCTCTTTTTTCTTCTGTGTGATCAGAGTTGTTTGAAAGGAAATAAACATAAACATCTGTAGTATTTTTAAAGTATCCAAACAGTAAATTATTTAAAACAATATTTTTCTCAAAGTTATCTAAAAAAGTAAAGTGCCATTGTGTAATGCTATTATTAACAGCAACAACAGACTGGGAACATGGAATCAGGATTAAACCTAAGTGCAGCAGCAGGCAGGCAAGATGTGCCAATGTTCCTTACAGCTCTCATTCACCAGTAATTTCAAAAATTTACCTCAGCGCCACTGATGCTACATTCCCCATTCCTTCAAACAGCGCTCCTTTAGTAAGACGCTTAGCGATGAAACTGCGCAACTCTGTCTCTGCTTCAGCTGGTAAGTTGGTGTCCAGCAAGGAGAGGCTTTAAAAAACAGAAGAAATCGTTACCAAAAGGCAAACGTTATTGTTTTGTGTCTCTCGGCATGTGCAGAACTTGCCTCTAGCAGGGGTGTCCCTGCAATCTCTCTCTGGTGACAGCTAAGGCAGCTCTGTGACTTTTGGGTCATCATGAGTAGTCAGTGGTTCATCCACTGACCAGGAGTCTGGAGATGTGGTGTCAGCTCATGCTGACCTTCCCAGCAGCTACGGATAAGACACTGCCCTCTTTGTTCCTATGTTCCCCCAGCTATAATACAGAGCTTATGGAAATATGTCCATTGAAAAATTAATAAATTCCTGTTCCATGTTACCTACATGAAAAACTAAGTCACTACAGCAATATCAAGTACTAGTAGCAAAAAAAAAAAAAAAGAGTTCAAACTCAAGGATGATAGTTTCTGTTTAACATGAGCTCTGCATATGTGTCCATTCCCCGGGTACTCCAGAAGTGCCATGAGGAGTTCAGAATGCTTTCACAGGGGTTGTGTTTTGAAGGACTGCAGAGGACCTAACAGTGATCTGACAGCAGTACGGCAAAGACTTCAAATCGGGATACTCCCGTGCTTGTGCTGCTCTGCAGCTCGGCTTTACCTAAAGTCCTCGGTGGAGGGTGTGTGTCCCACGGCTCCGCCGGCACTGCCATCCCCGCCGGCGGCTCCCTGCGGCGCGGACCTGGAACCCAAGTGATTCCCGGGCGTGAGTTTACAGCCGCGACACGCAGCAGGGAAAAGGCACGGCCCGAGGGCGAATAAAAGCATGAGCATTATGGGAGGGAAAGGATCTCACCGGGGAGAAAGGGAGGAGAAGAAAAAACTAAAGGGAATTCAGGGAGGTGGGAACGGCCAAGGCCTGGGCACGGCCTCCCCGCGGGGAACCCGGCGCCTCACCTGCGGTAGCCATAGAGGCCGTGGTAGGTGCGGCCGTGCCGCTCCGGCCGCCGCTCCTCGGCCGCGCCGCCGCCCTCCTCGCTGCTCTCCAGCTCCCGCTCGTCGCCGTCCGGCAGCGCCGGCAGCATCGCGGCCGCGGCCCCGCCCGTGCCGCGGGGAGCCGCGGGGAGCCGCCGGGCCGCGCTGCCGCCCCGCCCGCCGGCTGTGCCGTGAGCCCGCCGCGGCCCGGCGCGGGAGGAGCCTTCGGAGCAGCGGGGCGGCTCCGGCTGCTGCGCGTCTGCGTTCGTGTAATGCGCGGAAAAATGCAGCGCAGGCACCGCAGTGCCTGTCAGTACAAGTAATCCTTCAGAAGCCGGTCACTGACTTAACGGCAGGACCTGCTCAAATCACATTTGGAATTATAGAATGGTTTGGATTGGAAGGGGATTTGGCAGGGTTAGGCATGCTAATGCTGCTTTTAAAAAGTTCTGCTTCTGAAATACGTTTTCCTTGTTAAACCAGCACATTTGTTAACTCAGCGTTGTGGCTACCAGGTAGTTACAGAATCACGATCACAGAATCGTTGGGGTTGGAAGGGACCTCTGGAGATCATCCAGTCCAACTCCCCTGCCAAGGCAGGGTCACCTGGAGCAGGTGCACGGGAGCACACCCAGGTGAGTCTCCAGAGAGGGAGACTGCACAATCTCGTTTCGCAGACAAGCCCCGCAGGGAGCAGCTGTGACCCCCAGCTGCAGCAGGGCCACTGCCAAGAGTTGGACGTGGCTGATGGCTGGACTTGATGATCTTACAGGTCTTTTCCAACCTCAATGATTCTGTGATTCTCTTCTAAGCTACCCAGTGTACCTGTGGTGAGCAGGAGAGCCATGGTGGTAACACAGACACACACCCTGATGGATTGTCACTGTAACAGAGGGACCAGCCCTGTCCAGGTACAGGTAACTAACTGATGGCTCAACACATTTAAGTTGCTTTTATTGTGTTCTCGCACCCAGCAACACAGGTACTGCCAGCACCAGAGCACTGCACAGAGCAGCCAGCTTCTTGCCCAGTAACATTTAGTGAGGAAAACACAGTTTCTCTGTGACATTAAACACGAAGACAGGCAACAGTTCAGATTAGGAGGAACCTCTTTGAGAGTGATGAGGTCCTGGAACAGGATGTCCAGAGAAAGTTGTGGCTGCCCCATGCCTGCAAGTGTTCAAGGTGAGGTTGGACAGGGCTTGGAGCATCCTGCTCTAGTGGAAGGTGCCCCTGCCCATGGCAGAGGAGTGGAACGAGAGGGGCCTTAGAGCCCCTCCCAGCCCAAACCACTCCGTGACTGTTTCTGTGACACGCTCTGGCCCCTCAGCAGAGCACTTGCACCCCGCCTGGGCAAAATGGCGGCGGTGCCGTGAGGCGTCACGGGACCGCCCGGGGGGGCGGGGGGGCCAACGCCGGCGCGTCACGTGGGCGCCCCCACCCCACTGGCGCGGTGTGTTCTGGGAGCTCGGAGGCCGCAGCGGCGCCTGAGGGGGCTCGGCCGCCATTTTGTGCCTCTCGCTCGGAGCGGGGCGGCCGCGCGGGCGCTGCGGCTCTGAGGGAGCGCTCGGCTCTCCTGCTCTGTAGGCCGGGGTGACGCCGCCATGGGCCGTAAGAAGAAGAAGCAGCTAAAGCCTTGGTGCTGGTATCCTTCTGTGTGGGACGCGGCGGATGCAGAGAGCTGGGTGGGGGAGGGTAGCGGCGCGGCCTGGCGCGGTCGGGACTCGGTGCCATTCCGTCGCTTCCCGAGATGGGGCTCAGCCCTGCTCCCCACGCTCCTTGCGGTTTGTCTCGGTGCTTGGCCCTGTTCCAGCCCTGTTCCCCTCGGGATGGGGCCCGGTCCGTGCCCTTCCTGTGCTCCCCGCACGGCCTTGGGCCCGCTCCCGGCGCCCTCGCCGCGGCCTCCCGCCCGATCCCTAAAGCCGGCACAACGGGAAATGGGGAATGGCCTTTATCCCTTGCGAGGGATAAATGGAGAAAATCCTGTTACTGATAAATGCATTTATTCACGGTGGGATGTGGTTATAAGAGAATTTTTATAAAGCTCTTCTCTTTTTTCTTCGTGACGGGGGGAAGCTTTCAATTTGTAATTGCTGTATCATGATCAGGTTTAATTTTTTAGTACCCAGAAATACTGGTGGATTTTTATTTGATCGCTCCTTGAGAATGTACTTACTGTTGTGGAGTGTTTACAAATTTACCTTCTCACGTTTCTGTCCTCTAGAATTGTTTAATAAAGAAATTTAAAAGGTGCTCCGAGGTATTGTACCATTTTGTCTTGGAAGGTATCTGTGACTGTTTTAGGCATTAATTTATTTCACGTTTTGGAGGAAGTAAGGGACACATTGTTAGCAATGTTAACATTTTCTAAATAATAAATAGCTAATGTGTATTTGTCCTGCTTAGGAAAATGTGTAAAGTGTTTGCTGAAATATCAATGCTCGCCCACAGAAAGGAAATGCAGTTTGCCTCTTATATTACACAGATGTCCAAACAGTTCTTTGCTTAAAATATTTCTTTTTAAAAGCAGAGAATTCTCCAGTTACTGCAGTAAATTATGCTGTGTCATAATAATTGATATCTGGATAACTGGAAGAGGAAGAGAATTTTTAACTAAAACCTTTGTTCTCTTTTATGATTGTTAGTCACTGGTAATTGATTAAAGAGACACTTCTGAGTGATTTGCGTAATTTCCCTTTTGCTGATTTCAAGCCTGTTTCTCCTTTAATGCTGTAGCAGCATTCACACCCCTGAAGAGAAAAATAGCTAGGACTTGAAAACCCTGAGTCAAACAATATAGAATCAGATGATGATTCTGATTGCCTGCAGACACCTTCCCACTTTTGTACCTGTTTAAAGAGGTGTGTGGTGGACTGGATGAGGATGCTTGCTTTCAGACATCCATTAAATATTTGTCACCCTTTGAACGCTCAGAGATGCTTCTTGTGCCTTTCTTTTGCTTCAGGAAAAATCACACTGGTGCTCATTACCTTAGTCCTATCTAGAAGGTCATTTCCAGTATTGAATGTTTCCTTAACAGTCTTCAATAGGTACTGTAATAGGGATTTTGATGATGAGAAAATCCTTATACAGCATCAAAAAGCAAAGCACTTTAAATGCCATATATGTCATAAGAAACTCTATACAGGACCTGGTTTAGCTATACACTGCATGCAGGTAAGGCCTGTTAGATTTATGTGAGCTTTTCTTTACAGCATCTGAAATTGAAATGAAGTGTCCTTAAGGGCGGTTGGAGGCTTCCAGAGTCTATGCAACTGGTGAGAAGAGGGCAGCAATGGCCTGCTTGCAGCACAGGAATCCCGCTGTGTCAGCACTCAAATGGCCGCTGTGCAGCAGAGATCTTTCTCAGGAGTTGTGTAGGAGTGAAGGAGTTGTGCTGTCTAGTTTTTCTAAGTTTATGTAAGCTGGTTTTAGGGGTAATAGTAGTTACCAGAGATTAGGATGCTCAGATCAAGAAAATGTTTGGCCAGAGAGATTAGTCCCATTAAGGATGTTCCTTTTAGTCTTGAAACTGCCTGAAGAACACAGGGAATTTACACTGAAATGTGGTCAGCAGGATTTGTTTAGGTTGTTTTTTTTTTCTTTAGGTACATAAAGAAACAATAGATGCTGTTCCAAATGCTATTCCTGGAAGAACAGACATTGAACTGGAAATCTATGGAATGGAAGGCATTCCAGAAAAAGACATGGAGGAACGGAGGAGGTTACTTGAACAAAAAACTCAGGGTAAGGTGTAATGTGGCTGTTTGTCTTAATTCCCTGTTGTGTTCCTTACTCAGCTCTGGCACTTGTGAGGGTAGGATTTAATGCCTTCTCTGATGGCAGCTCCAGGCATTTGCCAGCCACGTGGGAGGGATTTTTCCTTTCCTGTTCAGAAGTAGATGCTCCCAGAGCAGCTCCAACAATTACCTAATGAATATGGGCAAGGTCATTTATTTGTGGGGGTAAAGGGAGGAAAGGCTAGAGGTAAAACTGTCCTGATGGTTCTTAAATGCTTTGCTGTTCAAGCATACTCTTGGTTGAACTGCTTTGGTTGCGGCTTGGCAGTGTGACATTGGCATAAGGGCAGATCCTCTGTGTGTTCAGGCAGTGTGAGTCATGTGCCTTCCCTTTATTTGTGGCTATATGTGGGCTCATGCAGCATTGTTTCTTTGTATTTGTGACTTTTTGAACAATGATAAGGTTTGAATTTTTCTATTAGCTAGTTTTATGGAATATAATTTGTGTTCAGTTTGACCATATGTGTTGTACTGTCTGCAGAGAGCCAGAAAAAGAAACAACAGGATGATTCTGATGAGTATGAAGATGATGAATCTGCAGCTTCAACTTCATTTCAACCCCAGCAAGTTCAGCCACAGCAGGGGTACATTCCCCCAATGGCACAGCCAGGTTTGCCTCCTGTGCCAGGTGCACCAGGGATGCCTCCAGGTGAGAGCGTGTGTTATGTTAGGTAGTTGCTGAAAACCTCACTAGAAACATTAATTGCTGCTTGCAAACTTGGGTAGTAATCTGCCCTTTTAAAACTGAGGTTACAGAATAGCTCTGGGAGGTGCAGATAAGTAATTTCTTCATTTTTTTCCACTGTTCTGTGCATGAGCACATCTTCATTGGTGGGCTAGATTCAGATATCTAATGCTGGCATGTAGATTGAAGGCATGTGGTAGTAAGACAGGTTAGTGCTTCAAACAGAAGTCTGCCAGTGATATTTGTTCATGGTATTTGTAACAGGGTTTTGGGAACAGGGCAGAGCTGCTGTGTGTCTGGAGACTTCTAACACAGAACAGGCCATTGATACACAGGCCACAGATGCAGTGAGGAAAGAATTTTCATCAGTGAATGAAGAAAATTATATCTTGTAGTAAGATGTCTTCTTTGGAGACCACAGAAAATTCACAGTCTTGCAGGGCTGAGGACAATCAAAGTCAATTTTGCAGATAGTATTATATTGCACTGTTCATAAGGAATATTATTTCAAAATTCAGTCTTTCAGAACTTGCTGTAAAGCATTTATCCAGTGTAAACATAGTACATGACATTTGTTTGCAACTGTATGTCATCAGAGTTGTTGAAAATGTATTTTTATTTTAAGGTATACCCCCATTAATGGCAGGTGTTCCACCTATGATGCCTGGAATGCCTCCAGTTATGCCTGGAATGCCACCTGGGTGAGTAGCAAGAAAGATTTAATATTATATGTTCATACTGTGCATTTTGAACTGTCAGATAAAAAGTAAAGCTAATTCAAAGAATGTACAATAGGGAATTGTGAACTCTGTAACTTAAAATATTAAGACTGACCAAAGAACTGGATGGCTGTAAACCAACATGTAAAATATGGCCAAACTGGGTTTATGTATAAAGTATCTTGCATTTCTCCTGCCTTAATAGTTATTAAGTAGTAATATGTTAAAATAAAATTTTGTTGTGTTGGTTTAGAGCCTTCTGTGAGCCACTATTCCCTTGTGAATTGCACATATATTGTGCATCTGGTTATCAGTCATCAACATAACAGGAAAAAAGTACTGGATAGATAATATTTTTCTTGTATTTTGGGCAGAGTATGTTGGTTTTTATGCTTGTTATGGGGTTGACACCATACCCTATCACAATGTGTTTGGAAATTCACAGTTAGATTTTTGATTTTGTCATAAATTTTCACAGATTACATCAACAGAGAAAATACATGCAGTCATTTTGTGGTGGAAACATGTAAGCATCTCATTAATGTAATTCTAGGTACATTCATTATGCCATTTTATGTCATGTTTTTGATAAGCTAGAAATTGTTTTACTGAAAACCTTTGAATATTGCCTAAGAATTTGGGGAAGGTGTCTGATTAGATTTTGTTACTGTATAATACATGAAGGTTTTATGTTTTTATCTAAATGAATATTACAAAAGTGTATGTGAAATGCATTCTACAAAATATAAACCAAATAGACCCTTAGAGAGTTAAAGCCTCTCTTGAAACAGAGCTTGAACAGCTCCATGTGCTCGATCCTTCACGCTGCAGGACATGCTGCAGGAACTCAGTTTAATCTAAACTTTAAGTTAACTGAGGAGAAAGCTCTGTGTCTTCTGAGACATACTGATTTAACAGTCTTTGACTTTAAAAATCATATCATAGTCAAACATGGTTTGGATGCTCATCAGATCTAGCTTTTCTGGGTGGAAATGCAACAGAATTTAATTCGGTTGTCTGACATTTAGTCCTCATCAAATTTCCTGTTAACTTCAGGTGAATATTATGTCACCTGTAAAAACACAAATTAATTTGCTAAAATTTCAGTGCATTTCATTTTGGGAGGAGAGGGTGGTGTTGCATTATGCTTTTATCTATTCTAATCTAAATTTTTGCTTACTTAACCTGATTGACCTTTGTTTAAAAATTACCAAAGAATTAAGAGACACAAAGCAACTTTGGTGTTAGAGTGCCACCCGTTCTAGCACTATCTGCAGTTTCTCAGAAGTCATTCTTCTGGGGCAGCAGGCACTGAGCATCCAGCACTTGTTTTGATGTCTGCTGGGCAGCAAGACTGACTTTGCCTTCTCCAACCAAAAAAAGGGACGATGGGTCTGTGTTCCCAGTCACTGCTGCTGCTGCAGTGTTTGTTTTCTGTGTAGCAGTGATAGACAAGTTGAGAGCAGCAATCAGACTTTGCCAGAAAGAATGCTCACCTGTTCATGGGGTTTGATCTGAAAACAGCAGTGGTGAAGGTGTCTTAACTGTCACACAAACAGAAACTGCTTCTTAGTGGGGTTTTGGTTTGTGCTGGAGTGCTGCAGATCAGCTTATCTTGCTCGCTAAAGTAATAAACATTCCTTTATTTTATTTCAGTAATTGTTTTTTGAATGTCTGCAAAAAATCAAGCAAAATTAAGCTACCCTTGTTTGTTCCCTGTAAAGGGCTCATACATATTCATCTAGGAAGAGAAACCAAATGGTTTCTTTTTAATGTGGAGAAAAAATGTTACAATGAGGATTTCTCATATGAAAAAAAACCAAAATCCCACTTTATCATTAGTGTATGGAGTGTTTTCTAGAATTGAAACTCCAGAAGCTTTCTTGCCCTGTGATCTCTGCTCTGCTTTTATCAATAATTTTGGATAGTTCTACAGCTCTGGGTTATCTGCCAGTCAGTGTCAGAGGGGAGCAATAGCAGATGTACAGTGATTGTAGGTGATAGGAGCAAGCTGCTTTTCCTGCATTCAGACTCCATGAGTTACTGAGATCAGGTTCTTGGAACACTGCTGCAGCTTGCAGTCTTGAGAGAGATTTCAAGAGACACTAGTTCTGGGAATCTCAGAGGAATTGAAATATTGAGAAATTAAATTTCAAATAAATGTTTGGGGTTTTGGGTGCTGGGTTATGTTCTGGTTTTATTGTTGTGGAGTCAGTTTGGAATTGCCTCTCTTTAGAGCTTTTAAAATTACTTACCATTTTTTATCTAATACAGGGATGTGCCAATTGTCTTAACACTTTATCATGAGTGTTCATACCAGTGCTCATTTTCTTTTCAATAGGATGATGCCAATGGGTGGAATGATGCCTCCTGGGCCAGGAATCCCACCTCTTATGCCTGGTATGCCACCAGGTAGGTCAGGGTTGTCGAACTCGTACTATGGTGAGAGTTTAATTATATTTATTTATTTTCCTTAAGATTTAGAATTTATGTAAAGAACATACAGACTTTTGGTACCACCCACCAACCACCTTTATGTGGTTGGCCTGCCACAAAAGCCAGTCTTGTGCAGAGGTGGTTGATTCATGGCTTCTGATTATAAATAATTATTTGATTTTTGTACCGTTGTTAAAGTAAAAAATAGAGTTTTTTGTTTTATTGCACTTTGTCACGCTGTTGTGTTGCCTGGTCTCTCTTCATCCCTTTCTTAAATTAATGTTTGTGCCTGTATCCCTTTTTTAAATTAATGTTTGTGGCTGATTGGAAAACAGTAATGATTGAAAATGTGGAAAGTGGGGAATAGTTGGGTAGTCTACTGAACTAATGAGCCTGCAGTGTGAAGAAACTTAACTGACATTTTAGTTTCTTACCATAGCTAGAAGAGATGTTTGTTGTGCAGCTCTTAAGTAGCCCTAAGTTCCTTGGGTGTTCCACCTGACCAGCAGCTAGTTTGCTTGATGGAACCCATGGGAGCTGTTAACTTCCCACTGACCCTCTCCTAGAGCTGCACACACACCAAATGCAGATGTTGTGGTGATATTACAAAATGTTCCAATCCACTTTACTAATGACCCCAGCAAAGCTGGCAGTGTTTTGGTCACAGTTCTGATACTGTTCAGAAACAATTCAGTCTCAGATTTTGTGAGTGTCATCCATGCTCTTGGCAGCATAGGTGCAGTGTGTCAGAAACAGTTACTGCATGAATTGTATTGGCTTATTGAGAGCATAAACTTCATTATTGCAGCTTTAGTAAAAAACAACTTAATCCAGAATTGCTCTGAAGTGTTTGAGATTACTGCCTGTGCACAATCATAGACTGGTGATTGCTGGCATTACCATTTGTCATGTTTTATTTTACTGTTGCCTTAAAAATACATCTTGTGGTGGGAAACTTTGTTCTAAGGAGTACTGGGAGCAGTATTGTCTAAAGGAATATTTGTGCTTCCTGGAGCCTGATCTGCTGTCCACTGTTTGTGGTTTGTAGGGATGCCCCCTCCTGTTGGGCCTCGGCCTGGCATGCCTCCAATGACACAAGCACAGCCTGTTACAGCCCCAGGCATTCTAAACCGGCCTCCAGCTCCTGCTGCAGCAGCACCGACCCCACAACCTCCAGTTACTAAACCACTCTTCCCAAGTGCGGGGCAGGTAAGGTGTCCCAGAGACTGGAATCTCTTGTTATATTCTTTAAATTGCCACTGTGTCAATAGTGCCTATTTATTACTGAGGAGGCCCAAGAAATGACTGGTTCAGGTTTTTGCTTGGGTTGATGATTTATTCAGTGTAGTGCTTGAATGAATTTTAAAAGATTCTTTTGTTTGTCTTAAAACAGCTGTGAAGCCAGACAGAAGTTCTGTAGGCACTGGGGAAGAAAGGAGTAGGCAAAACACTCTTTAAATGCCTTTACATTTGTCTATAAGGGAACTTTGGGTGGGTGAAGAGATATGTTTTCTACTGGAATCTGATAGCATAGAATCTAACTAAAATTTCCAGATTAAAAATCTTGACGTGGCTTGTTCTCACTTATAATGGGTTCTCTACTGATAAATGGATGAATTATTCTGTAGTCTTGTTAAACCGGTTAAACATTGCCTGAGTTAGGAGGTTTTTTTACTTCAAAAAGTTTAGGAGTAAGTAATTGTGAAAAGTTAATTTCAATGTTTTGGGGGGCGGGGGGAAATGGGGAATTGATAGTGGCTTGTGACCTCTTCCCTTTGAATGCACTTTTTCATGGGTCCTGGAGTTCTTTCAAGTATGTTGCAGAAGCCTTTGTAATGTACTGTTTGCATTTTGGGCTTCTGCAGGGAAGATACATGTTTACAAAAATACAGTCCTTTCATGAGGGAGGACTTAGTATAAGAAATCCTTTCATCTGGATACTTTCCACCCATTTGTTTGGACACTTTTCACTGTTTCCTTTCTTTTATGCTACAGATGGGGACACCTGTCACAAGCTCAAGTGCAGCTTCCTCCAATTCAGAAAGTCTCTCAGCATCTTCTAACGCTCTGTTTCCTAGCACAGCACAAGTACGCAGGAAGTCACAGTTTAAAACAAATTGCTTTGCAACTTAACCCTTTGGACCGTTCTGTAAAATCTAAAATTGACTAAACATCTTCAGATAATTTCTCTTATATTCCTGATTATGTTTAGCTGGTAAAACTGCAGAGTCCTTGATTATGAGTTGCATCTTACCAGAAACAAGCATGTCAAAGTGCCCAATTTTTCTTAGTGTGAAAGAATGAAATGTAACATCCTGGTTCTAAAGGGTTAAAAGAGCATGAAAGCAGTTAAATGCATTTTAGTGGGCAGTGGTTAGCTTGATGCATGGTGAAGGCTTTTTAGTTTATGTTGTTTAATATGTCACATCATAATGTAGGGAATTTTAAATTTGCATTATGTGCAAAATGTTAATTTTTTTTTTTGATTGGGAGGTTCAGATAATTTTAAATATCCAGTGATTAGAAACAAAAGCATTCTCTCATAACTAAGGTTTGCTTTGGAGATTGCTGTGTCTTTAGAGAAAGCTTTGAAAAACAGACACCTACAGGGTTTTTTTAACGGAAGAGTAGGAGAAATGAAATGTTGAAATCTCTAGTGGACTTCTGACATGCTTCCATTGATTCTTCATTCACAAATAAGATTAAAATTCTGTAGGTAGATGTAGTACTTTGTGAAAATACTGCAGTGTGTTTATAGAGAGAACATTTAAAGTCCTGATGCAGTAGAGCTTTCTTAAATATTTTGATTAAAATATTTCTTATATACCTAATTTTAATAAATACTAGCACTTCGAGCTGTACTCTAAACTAATGGTTGCCAAAATATGTTAAATTAGTGAAAGACTAATGAATTTATGCTTAGAGGCTCCTAAAAATAGTGTTTCAGGAAAGATTTACACATTTTCCAAATTCAGTGTTTGAGATAAAATAGTAGGGTGTTTTTTTCTTTGTTGTTCCTTTGTTTGTTCCTTTGTTTGACCTGCAGATTTTAGACTTTCCTGTGTGTGTGTGTATATGTGTACATACTGGGGTTTATTTTGTCTTGGTTTCAGTTGCTCTAGTATGCAGTAAGGCTGAACTTTACTTTTGTCAAGCTTGTTATAATTATAGATCTCACTGGAACATTTCAGAGTTCTAACAGTCATCGTTTAAGTTTTCTTAAGTGAAAGCTTTCTTTATTTGAGAAATAAATATTGACCTGTCTCTGTTTCACAGGCTGCAGCAGCTGTGCCAGGGCCAGTTGGTACCGATTTCAAACCTTTGAATTCTACACCTGCAACAACAACGGAACCCCCCAAACCAACATTCCCGGCTTACACACAGTCTACAGCCTCAACCACTAGCACGACAAACAGCACTGCAGCTAAACCAGCTACATCTATCACAAGTAAGCCTGCTACCCTCACAACAACCAGTGCAACCAGTAAGTTGATCCATCCAGATGAGGATATATCACTGGTAAGTTAACATATTTTCATTGTCTTAATGAAAAATGCAATTTGTGATGATATAGCAGGTTGAATGGAATTTCATTTGTGCTCTGCCTTATGTGTATTTTAGTAATGGTGAGAGGGCAAACTGTGCAGAAGAAATGTAACTGAGAGAACTTCTTTAATTAAAGTGATGACTGGCATATTGGCAGTGATCTTGCTGCAGTTTAAGCCTTAGTTTTGGTGGTGGTGGGAAATCTCACAGTCCAAAATACAATTTGGACTTTACTGCATGTGTCTTGAAGTTAACTAGGCTTGGATAATAAGTGTAGAACAAAAGATTGGATAGCTTGAAGTTGTTTTGATGCTATTATAGCAGTTAGAAATACGGAATTTATTAATTAAAAAATTAATATTAATTACAGTCCAGAGATCTTTAGATTTGTGTTTTTAAAAGAAAAAGCCTTTACTCAGCTAGGAGAAAGGGAGAATTTGAGTTCCATGCAGAATGCTTGAATTGGTCTGTATTAAGGAAGAAAGTCTGCAGAGAGGGGGCAAATCCTACTGCTGCTGTGTAATGTTACTAGTAGTCTTTTAACTTGTAGTTAAAATAGTTTAGTAATGTACTTTGTTGCACTTCTATTTACTTTGCTTTTGGTAAGTTTTAACCCAATGTGTTGTGATTGTCTCTTCTGGTTCTAGGAAGAGAGAAGGGCACAGTTGCCTAAATACCAGCGCAATCTTCCTCGACCAGGCCAGGCTGCCCTGGGTAATCCACCAGTTGGACCAATTGGAGGTATGATGCCACCACAGCCAGGAATTCCTCCACAACAACAAGGAATGAGACCTCCCATGCCACCTCATGGTAATCATAAGTTTCCCAGCTTTTTGTTTTTGGAAAGATTTGTTGCCTATGCTAGCAGGGAGGGGTGAAGCTTTTCACAAGATACACTTTTCACTATTAAAAAAAAAATTTAAAAATTATTCTTTGCATCTTAACTATTCTGTTTATAGGTCAGTATGGTGCTCATCATCAGGGCATGCCAGGATATCTTCCTGGGGCAATGCCTCCATACGGTCAGGGACCTCCGATGGTGCCCCCGTACCAGAGTGGACCTCCTCGCCCTCCGATGGGAATGAGACCGCCCGTAATGTCGCAAGGTGGCCGCTACTGATGCTCCTACTCACGCTCTAATAGGTTTGGAGATTAAACCTTTTCTCATCTTGTGCTGTTAATATAGCCGAGCTTCCGTCAGTTAAGGCTTCATTGTGACTTTTAAAAAAATAAGTATCTTCCCACATGCAAGGAGCTATTGGACATTCTTATTTTACATGGGAAAAATTATTTGGAATAATAACAGGAACTTTTCCTGATGTTGCAATTTATACTGTATGGCTTCTTTTTCATGTTTCATCTAGGTTTTTAGAAGTGAAGTATAGTAAATATGGTTCGTTAAATTGTGAAGGCGCTGGAATTACATGAACATACCACCTTAAAGGCAAGTTCTGTAATGTTACGTTGCTATTTGTGAAATGATGCCTTCACAGCACTTCAAGTGCTGTTGGACTTCATGTCCCCAACATAGTTTGGTGAGGGCTGTAACTGTTCCCAACTACTTGTACATTAAAGTCTGAACTTGTAACAATATTTAATGTATTTAGAGTTCTTCCTGTTCCAGGGTTTAAGTAAACTGACCCACTAAGGTCATGTGACTTTTCTGTACTGTTATAAACTTCATTGTAATAAAAGAGGAGAAAAATTTATATGCCTTTTTATTCGTGACCAGCTGTGGACAACTGCCTGAAAGGTTTGTACAGATGCATGCCGTGGTAGCCATTGGTGTAATGAACACAGTTATTGGTACTGTTTTGATAAAGTCTGAATTCCTTATTCTAAAAAGTCACTCCTTAGCTGTACACCTGAGTAGACAAAGACCTGTACACTTATTAACTGACTCCTCAAAACTGAGGCTGCAGGAGGCACATCCTAACTCTTGGTTGTAACTTCTCTTAATGCATATGTTTCTTTATTTGTGCTTTCTTGTCCTCAATAAATTTTACATGATTTCTAGTCCTGGCACTTGCTTGCAGGATGTGACAGTGCTCTGAGATACATCCTAGTGCCAGGGTGAGTCCCATTAGTTCACTCTGCAACTGATACTTTTTAATGTGCAAGTGGAGGTGAATTTTAGGATCCTTTTAGGTGAAGATTTCTAGAAGCTTAGGTGCATGGCACACGGGTGAGTGACTTCCAGTTAATGTATTGGAAGTTGACCTGCAAAAGAGAAATAGTAGCTGAACCCTCTTAATGCATAGAAGAGACAAAGCAGGCAAGAGTAATGTGTTACATGCTATATTTTTACTTTAAATGTTCAGATTTTCATGTTTTGGCAGTCTCTGAAAGGTGAACCATCTGTTGTGTGCTCTGAGCAGATGTTGTCTGAGTGTTCTTGAGCCATTCAGTGAAAGTTTCTGGAGTAAGAGACCTTCTTTATCAAAGAGATGTCCTCCCTTTATGAATTAGTAATTTCTGTTTATAAGAGGAAGAGTGACCAGTTCCTGCTAAAGTTGTAATTAAGTGACATCATGCGTTCCTGTGTTATACCTCTGATGAGAATGTAGACGGAGACTTCTTGTAGGGGAGGGAAGTGAAAGCCTCTCTGTCTTCTGAACAGGGAAAAAAGAGGGGTAAATTTTTCATTTGCAGGTCAACTTTAAATACATGTTCCAGCCTCAAGCCTTATCTGCAGTTTAATTAATGGGGATATATCTTCTTTAAGGTGGGGTAGAAGGATCATCAGCATTTTTGTGTCATTCTATTCATAGATGTTTTTGTAGATGGTGGAAGTTTTTCACTTAATACTGAGCATTATGGCTGTGTTTCTTGGAAGTCTTAGGGTTTTGTAGCTACACTAAAGCACTTCATGTGGCTTTATTCTGTACTCTCTCTTAAAAGTGCAAAAATAACAGTACAGCTAAAATACTACATTGTCTCAGCTTCTGAACTGTGGTCACGTAATGTCTCAAAAGCACTAGAGCAACCAGTGCAGTTTAGTTACAGCTGAATGGCCTTAGTTTAACCATTAAGAATTGCCAGGGACTTCTTTCTGAAGTGTCAGTTTAAAGACCATAAGTCCAAGCCTCTGTTGAGAAGCAGTTCTTGCTGATCACTGGTGTCAGCTTATCACCTGTCAGATGTGCAGTATTTGGCTTGCAAATGTGCAGAGTGGGGCCTTGATGTCAGTTCTTTTGTTAGCTCTTCATCTTGCTTTAGACGTAAGTCTAACAGATAAAACTTGCTTTGCTGAGGCAATGCTTCTATACTCTGGTTTTCTTCTGTTTCCCTAATTAGGATATTTACAAAACACTGAAGAGATTTTTATGATGTCTTATATTTATTCTTTTTGTAATATTACACATAGAATTCATACATTAAAGTGATCTTAAGTACTGCTTGTAAAACTGTAAAACTCTTGCTTTTTCTGAAGATCATATTGCTGCTCTAAGGATGCTTTGCCCTTCTGCCCCAGTCAAGTAGATTCCTTCTCCCTTTGGTGTCTTTCTGTAATTTTCCATATGTTATTTCCAGAGCCCTACTTTTCCTGGGATAAAAATTTATTGCATGCACTGTTAACTTGGCATATTCTGCAAGTTGTATTCATTAAGTTTCACTCTTTTAAACAGTGAATGTCTTATTCTGATAACAGTACCATTTTGTAGCTAATACTGCATAGATTTCAAGCTTGAATACATTTTAAAAATAATCTTTCCTTAGTAGTGATGTTGTGAAAACCCCTCGTAAGTACTGCTGCATGTATTCATTAGTACTTGCATACAAGCAGGTGAACAGTTTTTTCATGATTTTCACATGGATACTTCTTTTCCTGCTCCTGTCATTCCTGTGCAATAAGAGCTGTGATGTGGCTGCCTTCAGTCTTCAGTTACTTTTGTCTCTTGTGTGATTCTTCTGTAAACAGGCAGATGTTTGGGTGCCTGTGTTGTCTTTTGGTCCCTGCCTTCATTTCTTTGGATACTGCTTCTTAGTGTTCAGAGAGTTGGATTTATGGTGCATTTACCCAAAACCAGCAAAACTACTTTGAATGTAATAATTGCTTGTATAAAGACAAAGACTTGGTTTACAGTACCAAGTGTAATCAACATAGCTCTACCAGCAAAATCCCTGATGTAATGCGGTCATGAAAACAGGGTTTTGCTTTAGTTAATCCTTTCCTGGAAAGAGATTGCAGAAGACTTTATGATTATAGAAAAGCATCTCTTGTGTAGCTGTTGCAGGACCCTAGTGATGTAATTACATAGGCAGAAGCTTTGTTTTTCAGTTGTTGCTTAAATTTGCCACAGCAGATCTTGCAATAAAATTCAGACTTGCAAGTGCATTTTGACCAGTCTTGAGATTGTAATAATGCAGATGTTGAATACAAAGGAATAGGCTACAAGAAAATTTCAGACACAGGTGGGAAAATAGGTTTAGCAAAAAACATGCCAGAATTTATTGCATCTAAGATTCTGTAGAAAGTTCTCCATTATGTTATGCATGGTCTCACAATATCATAAGTAGCTGATCTCTAGGGCAGAGTGGATGAGACTTGCATGAAAGAACCTTGAAAAAGCCTAGGTTAGATTTTTAGAAGTCTTTATATAACTCTTCCATACAGTCATTAGAATAGCCTTCTGCCATTGGCAAAATTGCTTTAAATAAAATTTTATTTAGCTGGCATATGTAGGCTGAAGGTTTCTTCAGAGACCTTTGGATTACTTTTTTTTTTCCCCCACAAATGATATTTTAGGTGCTGATAACAAATTTGAGGCTGGGCTGTTTATCTAATAACAGTGGATAAGTATTCCTCGCTCTGTGCATGCATGGGACAATGTAAACAAGCTTCTAGAAACACTTACAGCTGCATCTGCCTTCTGTGGTTTCTGCCAGTATTTTAGTCTGTGGAGCTCTTGAGCAGTACTGACACAGAACTGGATAATTTACTATCTTAAAATGTGGATGAAATTGAATGGGATAGATAATGTACAGTTACTTTATAGGAATCAAATAATTCTGGATACAAAATGAAAACAAAAATACCAAGATTACTTCTTTTATGAACAGCAAGAAGGTTGTTATGACCTTCAGTTAAATTGAGACTTGATACACCAGTCAATGAGCTGGGGCCACAATTGAAAATGGTAACTAATGACACTTCTTAGCAAATGTCTTAATAATTGTACTGGTCTAGTTTCTACACAAACACTAAGACAAGGTTGAACATTTTCAGTGGCTGGTGGAATCTTTAACTCAATTTTTCATGAACTAGTACATCAAATACTATCACTTACGGGGAAAAATGCCCCAAGACAACTGACGTTCCATTGATCAAGATGCAAAGCAAAACAAGCTGTCCAATTCAGAAATAGCTACCAACTACAAAAAATACTGTTTGGACCTAGCAAAAGAGGTGCTGTAGCAGTCATTTTCTTTTGTTTGCTTGATCACTGGAATTTTGTTAGTTTTTAATGCATGTCTTTCACTTAATTGGGTCATGTTTTTTCTAAAATTCAAATTTTTCTTCTTCCTATAGCCCTGCCATAGGACAGGCTGAGGCAGAGTCTCAGTGTTGCCCTGTTCAGTCTGAGGCAAGTGGGATTTATTTTATTCATTCTGGGGGCTTTCACAGCTTTATGGCTGTTGGATATTTATGTCCCCAAACTTGCAGCAAGTTTGGTGAAGGCCCCTAAATTTATTTTAATTTAGGTTTTTTATTCTCTTTTGGTAGATGGGCTCTATATTAATATTTCTCTTTTTATTATCATTGTGTTTTTAAGAGTCTTAAGGGGAGGGAACCTGTTTTAAGATGTGTGGGTACCTTTTCTCTTAATGGAATGCATTTCCTTCAAGGCTGGTCAGGTAGTCCTTAAGACACACTGCCCCTCCCCATCGTTCCCTGCATTGCATTTGTGATGTATTTGTTTTTTGGGTTTGGTAGTGTTGATTTTGTGTAGTCTCTGAATTAGTGGCATGTAACCAATTATTAATGTTTTCTCTTCTAAGGATATGTATCTATTGAAAAGCTTAAAATAGATTTGAAGTAGTAAGTTAATTGCTACAAAAATTTGTAGCCCAAATTACAGAATACAGTTTCTTTGAAGAAGGTTAAGATGTTAATACTGCTGTGTTTGTGAGCTGCACCTCAACAAATATTAATGTAGAGCCCTGCGACGAAATAGAGATCAGGTCCAAGTTGGTAACACAGAAGAGTGAGAAATCAAAGCTGCAGATTTTTCAGCTTGCCAGTTTCAGGGAGAACCTTTTCCTCAATCTCTTTTTCCTCAGTTCAGGGAGAACTTTTTCCTTCATCTCAAATACATCAAATTTGAAAATGTTTTGACTATTGCAACAATAGTAAGAGTTGAAAAACTTTTCTTTTAAATCTTGTGAGATTCTGTTTGCATATTCAAAATTAGCTTTATTTGAAGTTCCTTCTTTCACACGGTGCCTAGCAAAAATTTCTGCCCTTTGTGAAGAAAAAGGTGCTCATTCTGTTGCAGATCCCTTGGTTGTGATTGCTTGAAGTTGCTTAAAGAAAGCTTCAGAATAGCAGGTTTGCCTAAGGAGGTCTTGCAGCATACCAGCAGTGAAATAGTAAATAAATAAATGTGCGAGTCTGGTTTGACTTTTTAAAAACGTTCTTGAGATATTTTAAAAGTTTGTGGTGAGGCTTTTTTATGAGCATAGTTGTTTATTTCTTCAAGATTTTGCTAAATAATTACCCCTAATGGGATTTCAAGTAGTTTTAACTCAAGGATAGAGTTGTAATTAACTTAGAGTGGATTGCACATTGATGTTGTACCCTTCTTTGTTTGTACTCTGCCCTTTGCATTTTTCCTGTAGAAAGCCCCCTGCAAAATCCATGTTTGACTGGAAAAGTGACATATCCATGTTAACTGTTTCAGAATGGTTATTGAGCATGGTCTTGCTTTGGTAATTCTCATTGTGGTGCTCCCCCTGATAACAGTGAAGATGAGAACGATTCTTCAAGATAAACTACTGCAACTTGTACTTCTTTCACTTGCTTAATTAATAGGACCATTTGGCTTAGTTCTTTTTTCCCTAGAATGTCTAAGGAAACTGTTCAACTCAGTACATTGTGGGGCTTGTACTTCTTGCTTTAAGTATCTGAATCTCTTAGAGTCTCAAAATAAAAAATAGGCAAATTTCAAATGCCTCTTTATTTTGAGGGATGAAGTGTGTTCTTAGTTACGTTCCAGTATTGCAGCTCTCATTGCAGCCGCTTGTGTATCACAAAGTTGGACATCTTCCTGATAGTGAAATTTCTTTGCTAAAGTTGGCAGTATTTCAGTGACATGATTTTTATAGATATTAATAAAATGAGGTCTTGGAGTTCAGGTTTTTTTTAAGCTTAAGTAGGGGCACATATCTTTTTTTAAGGAGAACGGGTTACTGATACTTTTCTAAATTGGGTAAATTTGCACCTGATCTATTAAACAAGAAAAGTAACTTGGAGATGTGGTAAATAAAGTGCATACCACATATGAAGAACTTTTAAAAATCTGTATGCTTGCAATCAAAATAATGAGACCAGGGAAATAATGATAGTGCCTGGGTTCTGTAAGAATTCAGCTGTCTGTGGCTGCTGTTCTGTCTGTCATGATTGGGCTAGGCTGGAACTAGTTCAGAGGAAAGGAAGTTTTGGGACAGCTGTAAGGGATCAAGATGAATCAGAAGTGTTTGGAAAGCATAATGTATATGAAGTTCTTTCTCAAGTGGTGAAGAACACTTGGTGAGATGTGTCTGGCACACTGTAAGCAGCAGCTTAGTGCAGTCTTGATTACCAGGGCACACATTCCCAGTAGGGCTCTGTTAAAGGAAATGCAGTTTTACTGCAGTCTTGTGAATGTGTGTGGCTGAGGGAGCTGAGCACTGGAGCCTGCTGCTTTGGCAGCCAGCCATATCCTGTCTGAACCACAGGATCCAGGGTGTTACCTTCAAGCCATTTGTTTCTGGCATCCTGCTGAGACAGTTTTGACTGTCCCTGGTATCAATAATTGTCAGGCTTGGTACTTATATACCTGGACACTGCTGTGAATAGTGAGGCCCTTGTACCTTCTGAACAAGTTTACAATAACCTCCTAAATTCTTGCGGGCTTCCTTGCAGTAGTGACACTCAGCAACACTGTTGTTTTAATGGCAGTAAAATTGACTTCTGCAGAAATACTATCTTGAACTTACTTACCTTAAGGTTTTTCTTTCTTGAGGATATAAAGAAGTGAAAAAGTTTTGAGAAAATAGCAGAATTTTAATGCCAATATCATCCTAACTGAAAAGCAAAGAAGCACATGACATTGAGAGCTTGAAAGCTTCCATATAAATTCTCTTGTTAGCAGTTAAAGTGTGTCTCTGACGGCTAACTGCCTTATATAAGGTTCAAGCTTCTGACATCTTAAACTTTTTTCCCTTAAATTTTGTCTTAAATCTCTTCCATATTCAGAAAAGGGGCACGGGATGTATTTGCAGCTCTTAGTAGCCAATGTGGTTTTTGCTAACAGTAATTTTAATTACCTAAAATGAATGCAGTACAACCAAAGGAAACTATTTCACCATCTCCCAACTTAGGAAGTTATGTAATGCTTTGAGATAAAGATGTCATGCAGGGCTTTTTTCTTTTTAGTTCATTGAGTTGCTTGCACTGAATTCTCTAGCTTCTTTCTCACAAATTTAATGGGAAAATATACATTTTGCTTGTTCACTTGTAAAGTCCAGAATAAGAAAACAGACTTTAAGACTTTAATGAAGGAACCTGGCAATGTAAGTATTGTAATTTCCTTTATGTTTTTAGTAGGCAACAGGTGACCTTGTTAAACTTATTGTTTATGTATAAAAAAATCAGAAGGGCAAATTAAAAGTAGTTTTATAGTTGCCTTTACTTCACATGCTTTTCTTAAGCAACAAATTGCAGTAATTGAAATTTGGCTCTTTTCTTTTAATAAAAATCTAAATTATGGATAAAACACCTTGGTTTAATACAATTTGTGTTTCTGTTAACTAGCAGCAGAATTTCAGCATTTGCTACTTACTGGTAGAGAAGAAAAATTCCACAGAACTGCCAGTACAGGTTAGTTTAATCTGTAAGTACCTGATGTTCCTATTTGAAATAATTTGTTCAAATGATACCACTTAAATACCTGAGGGGAATTTTGGTCTCTGAAATATGATTGTTACCTACTACTGATTCCAGTAGTGAGTGAACAGACTAGATTTTTTTGGAAGATCCTTAATGGATTTAACTATGCTTGTGGACAGTTAAACAATATCTGCGAGCACCTTTAAGGAGAATTTAATACAGAGTCTTGACAAGGAGCCTTTGATATTACTGAAGAATGTGAAAATTTGAAGTCAAAATCACTGTGGTGACATGCAAGTAATTAATGAGGCTGTTTTTTATCAGCAAACCAGCAGATCCCTGTGTTTGTTGTGTTGGGGATTAACCATTTCTGTTTCTAGGAATCCATAGCAGTTTGTAATCTTTCCTTTTCTTTAGCTATTGCTAATTACCCTTTCTTAGCCACAGATTTTTTACTTTGTTAGGGTGGTAAGCCAGGAGGTCGTTCTTCTGTGCTTTTTAAATTAATACTTTTGTTAGTTCATTTCAGCACTTCAGATGCTACCTACGACCGTGGTTTTGTCCAACTCTTTTATCTTACATCAGACTTACTGTTCTGCCTCTACTTTAATTCTGCCCTATTCCATATTCCCAGAAACTCTGGTATTTTATTTCTATTGTATAGAACGTTTTATACCTTAAAATAGGAAAGATTCTTTGTGAATGAATAGAAGATGCAGCTTTCTCTGGAATGGCTGCGTACATTTGTTTCTATTTAGACTTTGAATATCTCATCTCTACACATACCCGTAGAAGAGATGAAAACTTTTCCGTGCTATAGCATGAAGCAGAGATCCACAGCTGGATGGGCTGTAAGATTGTGCTTTAATTCACTTTTGAGGCCATGATGTCCCACTCTGAATTTGAGGGGCTTTTGACATCACTGGTGGGTAATTACTTCGTTGGTACTGTGAGGGCCATAGTTATGTGGTAGCTGAACAGACACTTCAGTTTCACCAGCTCATCTGAAAGGTTTAGATGGGTTTATGAGTGATTTGCCACTTCCAGCAGAATTGCTTGTTTTAGGGTTTTGAATTCTTAAAGGGTACTGCAGAATTCATCATAAAAATATACACAGTTTCAAGTCAATTGTATCTTCCCAGGTTTTAGAATACTTACTCTTGCAGCCCCATTGCCTGCCATCTTCTCTACATCAGTTCTTGGTAATTTACATTCAATTACTTTGTCTTCAAAATGAGCTACAGGCAAATTTCTGACTAATGTTGGATAGGTTTTTCTCCCTAGAAGGGGGAAAAAAGGGAAGTCATACATTAATATTTACAATTTAGCTTTATCTCTGCTTAATCTTAATTGCAGGTATGCAAGAATAAAAGGGATACCTTGTTGTGTAGGTATCTCTTTTATTCTTGCATACCCTGTTAACAGAATGTATCTGTATTTCTTACACCATCTGTGGTTGACCCTAGCCAATGCTAGCATTAATGCAGTGCTCAGTACTGAGTTGGAGTGAGTAACTGCTTTTAGCTGCTCAGTTACCTTATCAAGTCTTGGTTTTGGCAGTGGCTGGATGCAGACCTGCACAACTTGTACACCAGCCTGGCAATCAGTGGGGATAACTAAAGGGCAGAGTGTGTTCCATAGTGTCTTAACAAAACAAAGTGCATTTCTCCAGGATAGATCACAGTAGAACTCTGTAGAAAGTCATCTTGTTGTGAAACTTCAAATGGCAATTACTTATGGTACTTTCTGGTAGAATAAAAATTTTTTTTTTTGAGATAGGACCAAAACAAGACTGGAAATTTGGACTTTGATTACCAGGTGAGCAGTGTTAAATTGTAGCTCAACTTCTGACACACCATTAGAGCAGCTGTCCATTGTAAAATGGTTCAGCAGTTTTCCCTCCCAGTTCTGGTACTGTGTATTTGGAACAGTTTGTCATTTCCTGCTATTTCCTTAGACTCCTTGCTGACTCCCAATTGCCCTTTTAGAGTTTCTGGTCACTGTGCAGCAAACTCAAAATGAGTAAACTCCAAGCTGGTTTTAGTACCTTCATAAAAGACCTTTAAGCACATGAGTGAATAGTGTCCCCTCTCGGTAGCAGTGTGGCCACAGAAATTAGTGTGTTGTGAAGGGTTTTTTTCTGTAACTTGATTCTGCTTTTGTGTTAAGTGGTATGAAAGGCCTGGGATTACTGATCTTTTTCAAAAGACAGGTGGTGACAAAATACTGATGTTGAATTTAATTCAAGAAAGAGACTGGTAAGTATGTGCATCACTTTAATGCATGCAAATAATAGTAACAATAACAAGCTTAATTTTATAGCATTCAGTTTACAAAGAAGATGAGAAGAAAATACGGATTTAACATCATTTGCATTCACTGGGAACCCTCTCTGAACTGTTCTTCATATAGTCATCTGCACATATAGCCATCTGTAATGTGTGATCATTTTGTAATAGTCTCTGATTAAACAGAAGTGAACCACTGTTTCTGTGTATTTTTTTTTCTCCTCTTGAAAACCTATTTAAATTATTATTGCAACAAATGTTATGGTGAGAGTAACTTAGCACCAGCTTTTTGATCCTCTGTAAGCTGCAGAGACTCATTTGTGTGAGCTCTGACTTGAAGTGGAAGACAATTGAATCCAGCTTCTTAACCTGTAACTTGCTTTTGCTGTTGATCTGCTGTCCTGCTGCTAAGCAGACTATAAAAAGCTATTGAAGTTGGAAGAGTTGGAGTATGGAGGAAAAATTTCTAACAGTGTTTTCATAAAAGTTGGTGGCATGGGCCTGCTGGGAGGTGCTCTGCTCTAAAGCCTTTTTGAGCAAAGTGCTGGAGAGATGAGGTAGCTTGGGAGGTGGGTATCCTTGCACCTCCTGTGTATGGGATGAGAATGGAATACTGGTTGGTCTTAATTAGCCACCACTGTTCACTCATAGGTTAATTTCTGAGAGGTGGTAAAGGGAAGATAAACAGATATTCTAATGCTATGACATGGATCAGTTGGAGGTTTTTTGAATTGGGTGTGTGTGACAAGGAGCAGTTGAAGCAGAGGACTCTTCAAGTGAACACTGCTGCTGTGCAGAAATTCTTAATGGGCATTTGTCCTCTGGGCCTTTCAGCTCTCAGGAAATCTCAGAGGCAATTGGGAACTGCTTTATACTAAGAGCTAGTTAGAGCAAGGGCAGCTGTGTGTTGCCTAGCAGGTTAAGCCCCTCCCAAATATGAACATGACTGGTAGGAAGGGTGGGTTTGTACTTGCTGCCCTGTGAGCCTCAGCTGGTTGTTCTTGCAATGTGGGACCCCAAGAATTAATCTGTAAAATTTACACTTTGTCTCTAAAACTTGTTTCAGTTTAGTAGGTTTTTTTTTTTTTCTGTAGGGCTGGGGGTGGATGAAGAGTTTGAACCTAAACTTTCAATTTCTTAAAAGGTAAAAGTGGGCATATATGAAAAGCAAGACCCCCATTTATACCTCAAAGACTCAAACTTGTGCTGTAGTGTGGGCTACAGGGCAAAGCCCTGGCTGTGCAGAATGGAGTTGGGTGTGCGCAGGCAGTAAACAACACACCCTCCTGGCCAACCTGGCTGTAATTTTTCATCATGGTAAGAGTTCCTGTTTGAAAACAAAGTCTGCTTTTCAGTATTTGAGCAGGTTCTGTATGTGGTGAGCAGTCAGTGCTCTGCTTTTCACTCCTGTGCTTTTCAGTAAGTTTACATGTCCTGTTTTTGCTCTGGGTTGAAGCGATCTTAAGACTAGATTGGGGAAGCTGCCTTTGCCCAGTTAACCTTCTCAAACATACTCTGTCCCCTGCATCAGGTCTGGTGATCAGAGAGGGATTTCTCTGGCCCTTCAGCTCTCTTGCTTCTGGCAGCTTGGACTAGACAATAATATTTCATCATCTTCCTTCTGAATTCACTTGCAGTTCATTTTACAGTTTCTGGTTGCAGATCTTGGCTGCAGTTGGAAAAGCAAATCATACCTAGCTACTGTTGGAAATACATCTTCAGGTAGGGTAATAAAGATCACATAGAAATTGTAGTCCCTCATAAAAGATATTTATTCAATTAAAACAAGTTATATGACAGGGAGTTTTGGCAATTTTAGTCACAATGTCTTACATCAAACAATGTGAAACTGCAACAACACACGTTTTGTTATTAGAAGCTGAATTTGACATCATGGTTGCAAACACAGCCCTGAAAACCCCTTTTGCATTTTTCAAATCATGGATGTATGCTCTAGAAAAATTTCAGTTCTGTATTGTGTGGCATTCTTTGGATGATAATGCATAATAATTGCAGAAAGTATAGGAATTGTTTGGATTATAAACACAAAAGTTCTTACAAATCATCTTTGTCACCTATGATTCTGCTCGCATACCTCCACCCCACCCCAGATTCAGATATGTCTACTAAGGAAATATTTACACAGAGAGGCAATGTAAGATTATACAGAATTTTAGACCTGGTTTTTTATCTGTGATTGTGAAGTCAGCTTTAAAATTGCTTCCATACTGACCCTGGTTTTGCAGTCTCTAGTTAATTTATGCATGGTACGTGTCAGCGACCAGTGTATGTGGTGTGCGTTCATTTTTCTGTTCCTGATTCAGGAAGAAAAATTTAGTTACACTGGACAAATTTTACTGATCAAGACTATGCAGAAATTAATTTAAAATCCTAATCTGTGGGGTAAGAAGAGAGGGATCAATTGCCGTCTTTGGTTTGAAATCTTGCTTTTTGGACCTCCAAAACTATCAAAGTCCTGGCTCTAAGTTCACTCTCATAGTTCCAATTTTTTTAGTTACTTGGTTGCTATTACAGTTGTTAATTCTGATAATCTTGTTGCCTGGTAGTTACCCAGGAACAGTCCACTTTTAGTTTTAAATATGAGACTGGACAATTCCAGTGCTGTACCCTCTATGAGCACAGTGCATGCAGCACTGTACTACATAGCTTAGGTTCTTCTGATGGCTGGATCATTTTCAACCTCAATGTTGAAAGCAACAAGACCATTAAATGAAAAGCCTAAATAAAAGGTCACATTTTCATTTCCAGCAGGCACTGATTCATGATGGAGTGGCAAGATACGGAGTTCCTTTACGTGACCTCGTATAAATAAATTTCTGTCCTTGGTCCAGCCAGAAACTCTTTTGAGCTTGTCACGAATTTCAGAAATACTCCATACAGTTCCATGCAGCCACTTCATTCTCCTCTCATCTAAGGACCCCATCATCAATTTTTCAATTTTATTTTTGTGCACGATCTTATTTAAGCCATAACCCTTTCCCAGAAAAAAAGGGGTGTAGATTCTTTTCTTTCTGGTAGAAACATTTTTCATTTTGATGTCATATAAGCGTTTCAGGGTTTGAAGGGCTAAAGTTAAAATTTCATCATTCTCGGGATTAGGCTCTTTGTCTAATACTTCATCTGGCCAGTACAGCAAGGTGAGCAGAAAATAGGCACTTGATGGAAATGGTCTTGATGGTCTTTTTATTTTGAAGAATCTTAGACTGAGTTCACGAAGAATTGGCAGTGGAAGGAGTTTGGCTGATCCTGGTGCTAAGCAGGCTAATGTGATGTGGCACAAAATAAAATTGATTAAATCATTGTCCTCCAGCCTGTCCTCCTTCCTCAGAGGTTTTTCTGGATAGAAATCAAGGATCCTTTCTAGCTTTTCAGCTGACCTCTTCTCTTTGTTATCTGTTAAGAATGACAGAATATTGGTGACATTTCCTCCACCACTCCCATAAATACTCATGCGTCTCATGAGCTGAGTGTCAGGACCATTGTTGCTGTCATCATCAAGTGATGCTGAGATGAAGAATTTAGCGTATACTGCTGACTGCCTTCTCAACCATTTTCTGGGATTATGAATTTGTTCTTCCTTATCATTTTCGTCATCCTTCTCTTGGTTTTTTTCTGTTTGGAAATAACTTAGTTCTTCTGAAATCCATTCCAGGGCATTGTACAGGTTCTGTTGCAAGCCTTTTAAGCGGGAATGAAGCTTTTCCCATGGTTTTTTTATGTCTTCAGGAATGTAATTTGTGGTGAGATATTTCACAAGTTCAGTATGTTCTCCCTTTGGACTTCCGTGGAATACAGGCAGTGTGGACAAAAATCGAAGAAGGCGACAACCTACTTCTACTTCTCCAAAATAGCCAGCATTGTTCATACTTTCACGTTCTTCCTTTGCTGCTTGTTGTGCAGCTCTGAAGCATTTAATAGCTTCAAGAGCAAGCAATATTTTCTCAGTGATCCTTTCAGGGGTGTCCTCTGTCATTTTATCCACGGTGAAATTAAACCATTTTCTGTAGACTTGACCTTCTGTATCCAAAATAAAAGAATCAGTTGGCAAATGTGCTTTTGCGACCTTTGCCCAGTATTCAGCATCTTCAAATTTTTCGTTGGTGTAATTTAGTCTGGCAAGCTGCTGGGCAAAAAAAGCATCTTTTCCAAAGACTTCATATGCAGCTTTTAAAACAGCAATGGCTTTTTCACAGTCTTCAGCTTCACAGACATGTTCGATGAATGGGGAGAAGAGAGTATCAGTATTGTCACCCCTGCTTCTTTTATCACGTCGAATAAACAGATGTCTGATAAACTTTAAGAATTCTTCTCGTCCAAATCTGTTTTCAAAGAGTACCTTTTCCTGAAGAAGATTCGTTGCAAGTTGACTTAGCGATTGATTCCCTGAAAGCTGATGCAGAATTTCTTTTGCAACCAGGCAATGTATTATCCGAATAGATGAAATATAAGAGGTACTTTCCCTTAGCTCAATAAAAATCATTCTTACTTGTTCACTCAAGTGATGCTTGAAATCGTATACTCTTGCTTTACTCTCTGTATATGCCCCCAGCCCCAGAAAAGCCTCACAGTGTGACAGTGAAATGTATGAATTTGGTACATAGCAGTTGAGCAGAGCAATGTAACGCATCAAGCAGGTGTCACGAGAGGACGTGTCAATGCCTTGCAGTATGTGCTCTACCATGTCAGACACATACGTTTTATTGAACTCCTCACACATCAGCACAAATGTAAGTATGAATTCTGGCTCATCATACTTCTGCTGCAGTTTTACAAGTTTGGTGTTAAACAGACTTTTCTCTGACTTTGTCAGTTTGTGACTCACTGCAACTGTGTCCAGTGGTGAAGCCTTGCAAAGCCTTTCAGGATCATTGCATCGTCTACAGCATATGAGGATGAAATAAGGCTTGGCGGTATTCATTTTCCTGGTTCCTACAGCCTCCATTAAGTCAGTCTGTAGGTCATCAAAGTACTCATCATCATAATCTTCGAGCAAGAGCAGCACAGGAAAACAGTGAGTGATTTCCTTTTCTTCGTAATCTCTAAGGGCGAGCACATGATTACAAACAGTTGAGTGCGAATATGAGGTCTTGATAACAGCACATCTAAAACGCTTTCTGTTTTTCCACAGAACTTGCCGTGCTATTGTGCTTCCACCACTCCCAGGATGGTGAAATATCTTTAGTTTAGCCACAGAATAATTGCGTCCACTTCCTCGTAAAATGCCATCCAAGAGTTTGCTTGCCTCCGCGCATGCTTCACGTTCAATGATGTCCCCACAGAGTTTGTTTTCAGCAAGCCACAAGTTTTCCCACTTGATTTTTCCCCCGCGGTAAAAATTTTGTTCTATTTCTTGTTTTTGTTTTTCAGGCCAAAGATTATATTTGATATCATCACATTGGTCAGTACAAAGGATTTCTAGAGAATACAGTTTCTCTTCTTCCCGCAAGGGAAGTGTACACACGCCTCCAGTGGAAGTTGGCAGGTGTCTGGGTTGGGCTGTAGAAGGCAGCTTTGATTTGATGGTGGCATCTACGTGACTGAGCTTCATACCCACAATACTGCATTGTTCTAGTGTCTCAATGCTGCAGGATTCCTGAGCTAGACTGGCCCACTTTCTGTAATTTTCTTTGGATTCTGCAATGCAGATGATGTACTCCATGCCATTCATCTCTGTATAGAATTCCTGAAAAGTGTCCACAAGTGGTTTCTGCACTGGTGATAGCAATAGAAAAAGCACAATGAAAGAGCGCTCTGGCAGAATTTCCTCACAGATACAAGTAATTACTTTCTTCAGGTATTTTTTTTTTGTTCTAATCCACTTATTCTCATCACAAGGCTCTTCATCCCCAAGGAAGTCACTCCGCCCATTGCAGAATATCCAGCTGGTCTGATCAAACAGTTTCTGAGAGGGAGAATTATCAGTCTTAATTTCTTTGAAAAAATCTTGTAAAAAATAAGAACTTGTTTCATGGTGCTCTTTGTATTTGCTGTACAGTCCTGACACATTAGAATGTTCATCAAAATCAAAGACACAGAAAAGGTTCAAGTGCATTAAAAAGTCGATGTAGTTCAGATTTTCCTGTTCACATCTGTTTGTGACAAGGATGTACCGTAGGGAATCATCCATGTAGCTTTTGCCATCATTTAATAGAATTGATAACTTTCTTCCTAAATCTTGAGCTATTTCTGTAGATTCTTGTGTGCTGGAGAGCTCAGCTCTTTCTCTCTGAGCATCCCTGTCTGGCATGGCTTGAATGAAAGCAGTGAGCTTGTTGCGCTGCACAGATTCAGACTTTGCTCCCAGTCTCTGGTAGAGAGCTGGTTCTTTGGTCAGGGTCACCTGCTGGCTGTTTTCATTGTATTTTGGCAAATAAACTTCAAAACACTTACTCTTTACCAAGCTGAATGTTGGTTCAATGTCAACCTCCACTACAAATCTTTGTTCCTGAGAGTCTTTTGAAATCACTTCGATAAACACGGGTGGGTGAATACATTTCCTTGCAATTTCTTGTAAATTATTGCAGAAGCACTTCTCTATATAATGATCCAGTGCATCAACAAAGTCTTCTCTGTTTTTGATCTTTATGCCAACGATCTGTCCGTGTTTCCAGCCCTTGTCCTCAACACTGTCCATGACACCAAAATGGATGGTGCCATTTGTTCGAATGTTCATGCAAGCCGAAGCAAATCGTATCACTTCAGAGGCAAATTTTGATTGCAGTTGATGTTTGTTCAGTTCTGCAGCAGTGTTACAAGATTTGTATTCATGGCAAGGAATGATTAAATCAGTGACCCCTGATTCTGGAGCAAGAACTGTGTCTTTCACATACTTGAAATCAGTATCCTGACTTCTAAAAGGCCGACAGTTTCTTAGGTCTAAAACTTCATCAGCACTTTGAAGCTGGGATTTCTTGTTTCTTTTTTGCTTCTTGCCAGAAGTAGGAGCCGTGTTCTCGCTGCTGGTTGTACCCACAGCACCTGAGCTGCCTCCACTCGCCGTGCCCTGAGCAGGGGCATTGCTGGCTTTGGCTGGGCCTTTCTGTGCATCTGTTCTGTTGGGGTTTTTGCTGCTGGAGTCCTCAGCTTGCTGTGCATTGTCCTGGCACTGCAAAAGTTCATTTCTCTTGTGGATTAAAATCTGGATTTGGCCTTTCTTCATTCCTATATCTTTGAGGAAAGACTCATCCAGTTCCATTAGTGCTGGACCTGTCACTTCTTCTTCATATAGTTTATCTACATACTCCTTCTTGATTCCAGTAGATTCCAGCCAACATTTGACATGGTTCTCAACCCATTCACTCACAGGTAATGTTTTGTAATCTAGAAGTTAAAATTATATATTACTAATGCAAACTAATGTTTGTTTGGCCACAGTGTTATACCAGTGACAGTGGGAGAGCAGGTCTTAACTTCACAAATACGTCATTGCTGATGACAAAGTATCCATAACCTTAATCAGAAGCAGTTCTAAACAATGGTGCAAGACTAATAAATCAGCAAAGCAGGAAACTAGGAAGGAGACTTGGAAATGATCCTCAAAGGGAGTCAAGGAAATAACCCAAAATGATTTTTGTAGGGAATTATAAGGTTTATGGGAATTGACAGGGCTGGATTCCCTAAACTGGACAGGTTTGTATAGATCATTTACCCACTTGAGTCTGATTATTTTCTCCTAAATGAGGATTGCATCAATAAATACAAACCTTAAGATGACAGGAGTACTGACTGCTCCCCACTAGAGAGAAATCCTTCGTATGCAGATAATAAAAAGCAAATTGCTACATACAAAGTAGAAATTTTCTGAAAGCAATACATACCCATTGTCTTTGGTGAAGGAAATCCTGCTGTTAATGAACAAAACCCTAGAGGAGGGGGAAAAAGTAAGTCTTCAGATTTATAGTTCAGGTTCCAGTGATAGTTCAAGCTGACATTGGTGTTCTGTTTTCTCAACTTCCTCCCCACCTTTTTGTCCAAGGTCATTTCTGTACCTCTAAAAGCCTGTTCTTGCCAGCTGTGCTGCTTTTGTGTGAAGGCAGCTGCTCCTGCCTCCGACACACACGTGGGTGTGAAAGAAATAGGGGGTTTCTGTAGAGTTTTGTGCTGACAGCTGAGCCCTGCAGTTCCTTCTGTTACATACTGGAGAAAAGGAGGCCCCCACCACTATCCCTGAGGTTCTATCTGTGATAAATGGATATGATTCATGCTAACTAAATTGCAACTATATCAATATTTTAGAAAATAATTGTTATAAAATAAAAAGGAAAAGTATATGTGGTGAGTGTTACAAAGCAGATGGATTTCTTTGCAGATGTTACATGTGATGCAGGATGTATTTATTGAGACAAGCAAGACCTTAAAACAGAATCAGCCTTGGGACAAACAGAGTTGGGATGACTCCCAAAGTAGAATCGGCCTTGGGATGAGCAAAGCTGGGACAATTCCAGATATGGAATCTAAAGTAGTGGTCTTGTCTATGAAATAATAAGGCTTATTTGGAACATAATGCTTACTTTACATAACACAAAGCTTAATGCACATGCACAGCTTGCCAGGTTATTCAGAGGACAGCGAGGAAGGCTGCCAGCCTTCCTTTGAAAAGACCACCAAAAATCCAGAAGACCCCTTATCAACGAGTGGAGCATGTGCTATGCAGTATAGTGACGTTGATTTCAAGAATCGAAAATAGGAGATATTACTGATCAATATTGGCACACAGTATATAGGGTTCAATTTGGATTGCTTTGTTTCATACGTGAGGCAGGGTGAGAAACCCTCCTGTACCCCGGTAGGTTTTGTTTATGCTTTATATGAACCTTAGTCATACTTAATTAACCACTGCCAAATTTGTGTATATGCCAGATTATTCATTTATACAAAATTGCTGTTCAGTTAAAATCACTGCTAAATTCAGTTTTGTTCTTAAGTTAGACATACAGAAATTAATTCATAACGTATCTCTTACTTTTTACTCCTTTTTCTCACTTTCCCTGCCTTTTGTTCCTTCACACTTGCTTTTTCCCTCTCTTTTTTTGGTGAGTACACTCTTCCCTGCTCCTTCTCTTTTCCCACATCTGTTCTGGTGCTTACCAGAATTTCCAAGGAGCAGTTCGACTCACTGCCCAAGCCAGCAGAATGTTTTCTGTTCAGTGCGGTGTCCTCCCCTGAGTCATGACATCCTTCCTGTGCCCAGCCTCCATTCCAGTGGTTCAGAGATGGGTGGCAGCATGGACAACCTGTTGTGTACTGCAGGAGGAATGTGTTAAATGCACCTGCTCAGAGTGACATTCACAGCAGTAACCATCACCGGGATCACAGTAAAAGGTGCGCTGTGGCAGTGTTAGTGTTTCTTCTCTTAAGGTATTGTGGAGGCTCAACTCTCTGGTTCAGCTGGTGCTGCACCCCTGCACTCGTGGTGCCAAACATTGCTCTCAGCAAGTGCAAAAGGAGCAGCCACCAGTGCAGGTGGTGACTGGGGGAAGAAGAGTTCATTGCTCAGGACCAAGGCTTGGCAGGAGATGGGTTCAGCAGAAGGGAGTGGTTGGGGAGACAACTGGTTCAGGAAGAATAGAGTATGCTGGGAAAAGGCCAAGCAAGAGCACGTTAACCCTTTCTGTATCTGGTCAGCCCCGTGGCAGCCTCGGCTGAGGCACCAGCATGGCTGGAGCTTTGCTGTGAGCAGCGGCTCTGAGAGGGGAGCCTGTTACGGGACTGTCCTGATGTACTGCAGGGAAAAGGGATCCCTCAGAGTAAGTGTAAACAGGCTGGTTATGAAAATGGTGGGAGATGGATTTCCACTGACACTTGGTGCAGCATTTCCCGAGAAAGGGAGCTAAAAATGTCCCTGAAGTACTGATCTTTTAGTGCCTTTGGCCGCCTCCCAGGGCGGGGTTTGCACAGTGGGCCCGTCCCGCCCTTGTTTCCCAGTCCGCTGTGACAGCAGACGTCAGGAAAGCGTTTCAGAACGGGGAGCCTTGCCGGGGAATCGAAACTGGAACCGAGCTGAGCAGGGGCAGCGCGGCTGGAGGGGCCCGCGGGTCCCCGGTGCCTCCTGGCTCTCTGAGCAGTCGGGGTTTGTGCTGCAGTGCGTACCCCGGGCCCCACCGTGGGCAGGGAGGGGGTGCAGCCCGGGGGTGCGGGCAGGGCTGCCCCCGCAGCCCCCGGAGCGCGGCCGGGGAGGGACGGCCTCGCTTGGAAAGCCGGGGCCAGAGGCGAAACCCGCCGGCCGAGAACGACCCCGCGGGCACGGCGGGCTTACCTTGCAGAGGCTCTCCAGTGCTGCCCGCAGGGAAGGGTTTCCAGACGAAGGCAGGGAAAGGCTCCAGCACCTGCGGTGCCCTTCTGCACGGGCAGCAGTCTGAGCGCTGAGGGTGTTCTGCAGCTCCTCCTCTCTTGAAATTTATTCCGGGAATGGGGAAACTGCTTTAGACAAATATGCCTGATGAGTTATCAAGTCTCCACCCCCTTCCTAGCAGTGCTGCTGCTGGGTGGTGCTGCTGGTACAAAACCAGTACCCTTAGTCCCACTAAAAACAGCTGTCAGCATGGAGTGTGGGAAATACTTGTTCTTTGTTTTGTATTTTAAACTTTCAGATCCATCTAACTTACTGCCCTCTATATGAGCTACCTACTGACTCCAGGCCCCCTTACCAAGTAGGGGAGAGGTTGGCAGGTGTGAAAAATACATTTATGGTTGGCTTTTCGCAAATGCTACAATGAATATTATATGTGTAATGTTAGAAAGTTATGCTGTATTAATTCTCTTAAGTAGTGTGTTAAATAGAGTTTTAGGTTACAACATAATGTTAAAATAGAAACTCTGTGATGCAGGATTTTTTTACTAGCTCAAGCAAGAAATGAGATAATCAAGAAATTCTTTGCACAGAGATGGCAGCGACTTGGGGCCCATAAAGAGTTAGTGCCTCCTTATCAGAAAAGACATTCTTCCACCTTCTCTCCATCTTTATGGAACCACCAGGATGAAGGAGAAAAAGTTGACAAAAACCAGAAAGTTCTTAATTTACAAGGAATTTATGCATCATGTATGAACATATGAATTTGCAACAGGCTATTGCTTTTAAGGTTATTCCTTTGTTCACAAGGCATGCTTTTTGTGACTTAGTGTCCAAGAGCATCCAGACGTCCATAATTCTTTGGTTTTTATTGTCTTGCAATTGTCCTAACTCTACATTTTCTTACTCTAATTGTATTATTATTTTTATAACCATTTTATTATTATTCAGCTTTTAAAATTTTAAAAAACCAAGTGATTGGCGTTTTTCACAGCAGGGTCAAGAGGCTCCCCAGCCCAGCCCTTTGTGCCACTGGGGCTTAGGAAGGCTGGGCTGCAGCGGAACTCTCTTAGTGTCTTTCTGTTTCCTGTAAATCACGTGCTCAGCTCAGTTTCACCAAAACCATTTTTTTATGGGTATTTCTTTATCACACAGCAGCACAAAGTCCTGCCATTTTATCTCACACGTGCACTTGCCTCAGCCACCAGGCTGGAGAGGGCTGGTGCCAGGGGACTGTCAGAGTAACAAACGAGGTTCTTGGGCCTTCAGGGAGGCTCCCCCCTACCTGAACAACTCCTGCATCCTCTGTTGGATCAACAGGCAGGGAATGGTTGGAGCAGGCTCAAAAACGGGCACGTGTCCCTTGCCGAGGGAGGCAGGACCAGGCTGCTGCAGGCCTTGGCCCCTTCCCTGCTCAGTCCTGCCAGCTCCTGGGTTCCCTGGGCACACATAGGCACTAAAAGCTGTGGGGTTTTAATCTGAGTCTTTATTTAGTAGATTTATAAAAGACCTTTTACATGAGGAATACAAAAATATGAAATAGGCTTTGAATCTTTTTAGGTAAAATTACCATTGTTTTTTCAAGCTTTAGAACATGTAACCTGCACAGTTTGGCATCTGTGGTAAATTGCTCTCACACATTGTAAAAGTAGGAAAAAAACATCCTGTAAAGTATCTCCAGAAAAATAGCTGTACATACCCCATCATACATGGGGTATTACTAGCAATAATTTATTTAAGACACAATGGCACAGTCATACAAATTCTCACTTTCTAATTTCTCCTTTAATTAATTCCATTGAAAGATGCAGTATCACTTTCCTCTTCCACTTGTTATCTGATGATTAAATATAAACACAAAACTGATTAAGACTGATTTGGCATGCTTCATACTTGTACCATGTGGATTTGATACCACTTTGTAGTAAAAATTAAATAAATATAAATACATTAAATAAATATATTGTAAAAGAACACCCAGTTACATTAGAATTCAGCATTTCTTCATCCTAGCACAAGTGACACTTTGTCACAGCTTCAGGGCCCATGTAAAGAAATACTGCACCTTTAACCACACAGGCTCTCGTGGATGGAATCACCAGCCCACACACACAGGAAATGGGGTTCTACAGCTCTGTGGCACCCCTTAAACACTGCCCCGATTTCACTGCTCTGAACAGCTCTTGGTTCCTGTTTAGCTCTTTTTTCTGGGACTCATCTCACCCCTGGCTCTGTGGCTGTGGCCTTTTCTTAGCCCTCGAGGGACATTTGTAGTTGGTGAGTCACAGGCAGCTCCAGCGTCCATCGGTGTTTGCTGCAGGTACTTGAGCAGATCATGAGTTAAGTGGAGGATTGTTCAACCTGTTCTGTGAATACTGCTTCGTATTAAAAAGGATTATTTTCAGAGTAGGAAAGCCTTGACTTGATGTTTCAAGTCAATATTTTTTAAAACTGCTTCTGCTCAAGTATAGGGGACTAACTTTCCATAGTAGTACTGGTTAAACAGAAATGGTACTTTCATACCATTTTTTGGATAATCATGAACGATTCCCTTTACAATCACTGTGGTGTGCCTAATGTGGCAGCAGTGCAATGGCAGGTTCAGATAATTTGCGACAACCTAAAGCTCCTTTTGCACATCTCAGTCGCAAGTAATTTTGTTATTTCAATCACTGAAGTTGACTTTTTTTTTGTAGTAAAACACATCCATTACAAAATCACGTACAGTACAGGGATATTGGGTGACAGTTATATCCAGCTTTTGCTCTTCATTTCCACAGTCTTGAAAACTGCCTTGGAGTCAGTAACTCCATCCCCAGGGTTCGTTGCTTTACCACTCGTGCCCTGAACTCCACCATCTCCTGATCCAGCACAGCCACAGGTACAAGGCACTTTTTGCAAGCTTGGTTTCTTCAGGGAGAGAGAATTCAGCTCTATGATCCCATTTTTCCCTGCTAAGGGTAGGCCTGTGCTTGGAATGTTGGTCCCAGAGAAGAAAGTTCCATCCCTCTCCTCTCAAACCATGTCTCCTGTAAGGCTCAGCTCTGCAGAGTCCTCAGCATAGTAATGCTGGAATAGTCTTTCTTGGCAGCAAATGTGCATAGCGTGGTAGGTGTGCAGGAGCAGGCGAGGGAAACGAGCTGTGAAGTAACACACAAATTCATCTGGGATGGAGCCCAGGGTCTCCTGCACTTCAGGAGGCAGTTCCCTGTAATGGTGCTTCTGTGGAGGAAAACAGAAGAGGGAAAGCTCAGTCAGAGAGAGTTTGTTCAGAAACCTATTGTGAACAGAGCTGTTGGTGTTCCTGGACACAGTAACCCTTACTGGGCTCTTGTATCAGGGTCTGATACAGGCTGGCAACAACAGCAGCCAGAGGCAGGAACCCAGAGTGCACAAGGAAAAGACTCCTTTACCTTATTTCTCATCGCCCTCAGAAGGTCCCGGACAGAGCCACCTTTATAGGATCTGAATTTTCGAAGATCTGCAAGATAAACAATTTTTTGTGTTGTGATGCAGTTTTAGGTGCTGGGGTGTATGGCTGCAGCCACAGATCCTTGTAGGTGTGTTTCAGGACATAAACATGTACTTGCATTTGAAGAAACACTTTACTGACAAGTAACAGTGATGTGCCAAAACTGAAAGAGTGTCAGCCTTATTTTCCTGTTCCAGCAAACTGGGAACAACAGTTGATTCCCACTCTGACAAAATGCTGTCCATTACCTGTCTGAAGAGGAACAGTGATGTGCTCTCTCCAGTCCATTTTCACCACTTCTCTTCCACCTCTTTCTAACTGCTTGACTATTGGACCATCTAAAGATTCTTTCTCTATTCGGTCACTAACGTCCTGGAAGAGACATTCAGATTATTTCTAGTTTTATTTCCAAGTTTTTTCCCAGTATTTTCCAATTGCTGCTTCTGGTCCATTAGAGCCTGTCTTGGTAGTAAAGTTAGAATCCCACTTCATTCCATGACAGTGCTGTGGAATAGGATACAGAAGCCTCTGCCCAAGCCTTTTTAGCACAGAGGAGATAAGGCTGGAAAGGATCTCAAGGCCTCCGCCACTTCCCACCCCACATCAGGATTCAGTGCTTGTTCACTCCTGCTCTTGAAAACCCTCCTGGCCACGCTCTCTGTGGATACTGCAGCTGCTAGAGGAGACCTTCCTCCCACCAGCTGACCTTGGTAACATCAGCTCTGGCTCCCTCTGAAAGATCTGCTGTAAGACTAGGCCAATTGCTTAGGAGCTCCACCCAGGTTTTACAACTGGGCTGTCTCCTCACAGTAATGCTGTGGATTCTATGACCTCAGGCACAAAAGAGACACTGAATTCAAGACCCCTACCAGTCTACAGGAGCCCTGAAAACTGAGAGGAAAGGTCACCACAAACCTGAAAGAACTGGAGCTGTTTTTCCAGACTCCAAAAGAAGGGGTGTTTGAGCACACAACTGGCAGATGGCCGTTTCTGAGGGTCCATGTTTATCATCTGCTCTATTAAATCATGAGCAACAATGTCTTCTGCAAGGAAGAGTGTACATGGAAATTATTTTATTTTCTCTATGTTCTTAGACTGTAGTGAAAAGTAAAATTATGTGATTTTATAATATTTTGTACTTCAGAAATTCATTATGGCCTCTACTTCCTCCTGTCCTGCTAGTTCAAGAGCTGCCCTCACAGATGTGCTAGGCAACCAATAGAAAGACTATCAAAGACTAAGAATATCAAAGTTCAGCTCTCTCTTCCTTTAAATACAGGAAGTAACTTCACAGTCAAGACTGCAGAGTTGCTCTGGGGTACTAACTCCAAGAACTTTAGACCCTTTACTTCAGGAGGACCTGAGGAGTACAACTTTCCTCTCTGCCAGGCTGAGAGTAACTGTGGGCCTTGGTTGTGTCACTGGTGTTGGTGTTCAGCAGCCTGGGCCCTCAGTGATCCTGCAGTGCAGGGATCCCTGCAGTCCTTACCGTGCCTCCCTGCATCCAGAGCCTCCAGGCTGTATGCTCCCAGCAGGATGTTGGCTTGCCGCTGCAGGGACTTGCCAAAGGGATGGCCACCTTCAGACACCACATAATAGAAGACACAGCCAGCTGAAAAGATGTCCACGGTGTACGTCTGCAAAGAAACAGCCTTCACTAGCAGCGACAT